TCTATCTATCTATCTATCTATCTATCTATCTATCTATCTATCTATCTCTCACAGGGAATGACATACAGCCACGCACAGCTGATGCACATGTGGCTGACTTCACAGTTGCTCATTGGTTGGATTGACTATTAAAACACACAGACATGAGAGGAGTTTTGATCTTTTTGTGAAAATCAATAGAAAGCGATTGTGTCGTTGCGAATGAACTCAGATTCCTCGTTGCATGAAAAAACAGAAACAAGCAGATGCATGAGAGTAAAAGCATCCCAGGACTTTTGCCATCTCTTTAATGCCCACCTCTTTATAAACCATACACTAAAAATATCCCAGTGACCCTCGGAAAAGGATGCGCAGCTTTGGTCTCTCACAGCAGTACTCTGCAAACTCGCTGACATCACAGAGTCCTGAGCAGGTGGAGGACTCCGGGAGCTCTCTGTTTGGCTTCCATCACCAGGTAAGATACATCAGAGGAGCACATTTACACTGTGAGAGTGGCTTTGAATTCAGGATGAAAATATTTGAAGTACTTTGTCAATGGTTAGAGGATAATGGCAGTTTTCTTTAGAAACAGCACAGCAAGAGACAACAATCATGCTGCTCATAATTTAAACTGACACGGAAGGGTCTTTGAAAATTAGCTGATGTTTGGACAAAATCGGTTTCTAACTACATTTTCCCCCTTTAACTATTCTTCTTTTTCCTTGAATTTACTATCTAGTTGCCCGTCACATTGCCTAGATATTTAATCTACACACATATCAGTCACTTATTTGGGCTTTTGGTCACATTCACACCAGTGCTGCTTTACATTTTAACTTCAGCCACAAAGTTTGCACATCGAAAATCTTTTACAACTTAGCTGAGGTATTTCAAAACGTCTAGTTCCTGATATCACAAGACGCCGCAGTTCACTTTAAGCTCGGCTCCAATGCTGCCATCCTTAAATATCGTTTGCAACACTTGGTCCTCCAGCACGAGGGTGGTTCTGTTTACAGACCACAAAAACAAAAATAAACCATTGAACCCAGCAGCGGCTCAGCTTCGGGGGGACCTGAATACTGAACACAGCCGAGACAGGCAGGAGGAAAACCTCTGGTTAAGGCGAGCTCAGACAGCAAAGAGAAAACTAACAAAGCGTTTTTGTTCAGTCGAGGGGGGAAAAAGTCAAAACTCGAATGAAGAATTAATAAACAGGCCAAAAACAAATGAAAAAAAAATCAGACAACAAATGCTGGCATGCAGGCAGGGATCACAGTGGCACTAACAAGGAACGAAACTGTAAATACACTGAGGACTAATTAGTAGACAAGGCACAGGTGAAACTAATGAGATAATTAAAAAAGAGGGGGTGGGGAGGGGGAGACAACAAGACCTCAAGTTACACAACAGAGGAGACACAGGGAAGAGTGCTTCAGAAATAAGATAGTAAGTAGCAGGGACTCAAACAGACAAAGCACGGCAGCACAGAAGCCGTGAGGGCAAAGGTAAGATAAGAGAACTCAGGGAGGGAATCAAACTGGATTTGAATACAGACTAAATTGGCTGCTGTTCTACACTTGTAACAACTGTTGTCCGCATACCACATCAAAGCAATGAATATGAAAAAGTGAAAGGTTGCGAGTTATGACATGGTGAAAAAAACCAAGACTCCTACCAATCTCTGACTTCTTGTTCAGAAGAATTTCAGAAGAATTTGCTATTGTAGATTCGACACTCACACAAGGAACTAAGGAGTAGCTCGGGAAGTTCACTGGGATTCATAAAGCAAAGCGTACAGGAAGTGTGAGGTGCTTATTTGTTGGCATACATGCTTTTCTGACTACTCCCCTTTTCTTCATCAAAGCAGCACAGTATTTCACAGACTTGGCAAAAGATCTGATCTCACCAACAGTTAAGTGTTTTAATGCATATCTTTCGATACTGCAAAGTACTTCTTGGAATACTATAAAACACAACCCTGCATTTAACTCACATCTAATCAATGTAAAGCCCCAAACACGGTGTGTTTAGAGGAGTGTTAAAGTCATGCTTTGCTGATGGCATTTTAATTAACATCTTGGCAAGTTGCAGATTCCAGGCATAGCTTTGTTTGCTTGTTAACATAACAAGAAGTTCTGTTCACAGACCAGGATTGGCACTTTGTGACTAAAGAGAGGCAGTTTATTCACTGAACGCTTTTATTTATCATACATAAAATGTCATCATATAATCCCCTTTTTTCCCTGACATATGTCCTCTGGGGTACTTTATGAGTATTCTTAAACGACTGAATAGTGCGCTAATAAAGTTTGACACGACAATTTCATGCAAATTCTGTCTCAGCCTTTAAACGACGAGCTGAAGACACTAAAGCATGGCATACGGATGACGTGTGTGACAGCCGAAATATATCTTCACAAAGTCCGTATGTGACCATTTAAAGGTCAAACAATTTACCAGTGAATACATAACATGCACTGGTAATTTCACTGGGGAAGGAAATATCATAAATCACATTAAGGTCAAAGTGCTGCATGTGCAGAGCAGCACAATCCATCCCTGCAAGACAAAACACGGTTTTTATGTGGGGACACAGGCATGTTTTATTAAGTCACATTTATACACACACCACCACGAAATGCAGATTCTCAAGTGACACCGCTGACCTCTGCCTGAGGATTGTTTTATATTTGTCAAAATTATGCATCCCTTGATATTTACCGAAGCTGCTTACTATACTCGGATTCTGTTCTGTTTTGCTGGAGCGGCCCAGGAGACGCTGGGGTAATTATGTTACTACAACTGCAACATGATGAAATTTTAGCTGCGCTCCTCTTAGCTTCGTGCCGGAGATACACAAAAGCTTGTTTGCTGTTAAAAATCAAAGCATCAACATTTACTTTGTCTGCTGCTGACTGTAAAACCTCAGAGTTATCCAACACAGTGAATTATCCTGCCCCGCGTATCATTTACAATTTTCACATCAAGCAAACTAAAATTTCATTTGTGTGTAGAAAATAAAGTCGGAGTTAGAGGGTGGGCTGCAACATCATGTAGTTCCTTGTGTATGACTAAACGAGCACACATGCAAACTTACTCAGTGGGCTGCCGCTGACTTCTTGGATTTATTATCATATCATACTTATTAATGCATGATTGACCTATTTAAGTAATGGTGTAGATTTATCATTTTCTATGCCTTGTGATAATATATTTATCACATTCATGCTCTCCACATTGTGTCCTTCTCTTATTTTCCTTTTCCCCCCTCTCACATTTTCCCACCGTTGCTCCCCTGTCCTGCCGCTTCC